GATCAGAAAGCACAACAAGCGTTGATAACAATCACCTCTAATTGGAGTACACGTGTAGATCTATTAATCAGATACGTTTTTCTGGATTAAGAGGCGATCCCTCGACAGTCGTATTCGTTGAACACACCTAAGCTTTCACACATACGAAGCTAAAAGTACGAGCTAAAAGAGCATCGCGGTAAAACGAGAACTCGTATACATGAATATCCATCCGTGCATATATACATCAATGTGTCCTATCGACTCGACGGCTTTTTCGTTGATGCGACAAAATAATGTCCGCTCGTGCACGCGACACGCGTACGCCTTAATGGCACGAAAAGGAAATCGAATATCAAATGATCCAGAGACAGCTCGTTGATAGTAATTCATTGTTAATTCTCTTGGTTTTTTTTTTAACATTTTAGGCCTATTCTCCGTTTTATCCGGTATCGAGTCATATTAATGTTACAATAATTATACATCGATTATAATCATTTTCCCCGATTTTGCGTCACGCCGCAATTTTCCCCGCAAAGTCGTCGCTATACGCGGTGATATCGCCTCGACGAAAATCTTCCCGCGCCGCGCGCTCGGTGTAAATCGAACGTTCGATAACGGACGGTAGCAAGAGAAGGAGAGAGCGAGCGAGCGGACGAGCGAACGATCTGGCAACCGCGCCGCGCGGCAGTGCCGGAATTGAATTTCAAGCGCCCGAGGGACAGAGGGGGCGTACCGACTGGCGCGGCCCTTTCTCTTTTGTATAGGGGGCACGAGGCGCATAACGGTGAGTCGACGGCCATGTTGTCGGGGCTTATACCCGGCATGTTCGTTTACCTGCCTGCCTGCCTGCCTACCTGGACTGCCTGCCTGCCTGCTTGCCTGGCCTGGCCTGGCCTGGCCTGCCTGCCTGCCTGCCTGCTTACCTGCCTGCCTGCCTGTTTGCTCGCTTGCCTATCTGTCTGGCCTGCGTGCCTGTGCCTATATTCCACACAATCGCTTCTCTTCGCTCCGTTCCACTCCGCTTGACGGGGCTCCGTCTGCCGAGCAGAAAGGAAAAGGCATTATCGCAGTTTTAAGGACGATCAAATCTCCGGTAGAGTCCCCGGCGGTTCTTAAATTTATAATGCTCGAACACTGAAGTTATTTCGGAAAGCGAGCAGCGAGACGCGACGGAAAGCGGGGCGTCATGATGCAGAAAGACGCTCCTGGGAAAACCCGATGTTCCCTTCACCTTTATCGCCCTTTTCTTGTCGTAACTTTATCTATATTACTCAGAAAGTGGGTCCCTCTGTGGGGCCTGTCAAACGCACGCAGGAAGTCGAAAAACATGAACATATATTCTGAAAAAAAAAATACTTTAACCACTTATTTTGTCGAAAAATGTTGAAAAATTGTTCGAATTTAATTCAAAATATTTATCTAAATTGTTCTTAAATTTTGACAAATGTTTCTGCACAATTGATTATGCACATTTACTTAAATAATTTAGCACACAAGAATATTTTAAGCTAATAGCGTGTTGCACGCAATGTGGTTTTTTTCCTTTGTAATTTTTTTAAGATTTGGAAGGTTTTTAAGAATTTTCCTGGAAAATTAAAAAAAAATTTCTACTTCGATATTCGAAATTATTTTCTATTAAATTTCATCTCTTTATTAAAAATTGCATTTGTTGTATCTTTGACCTTTTGAGATTGTGCGCCGTATCTTTGACCTTTTGCGATTCCTCCGTGAAGAACAAAAATTATTTTCAAAGTTGTCCGGGCGCGCTTCAATTTCTTCCTCTCATATCGCGCTGCCACCTGATTTTGGAGTTTAAACAACACGGTATGCCTTGGTTTTGATAAATTGCCGCCCGACACGCTCTTACTGGCTGTTCCAAAAAGAACACGGTCCATCAGCCGTGCGCGCGGTACATCTTTATCGTGCACGCGGACACGCATGACAAAATTTGGCAAATGCGCACACCGGCATATCACCCGAACGCAGCTGCGTAAGATTCACCCTCTGAAATCGGTCTGAAGCGACCGCGAGTGCTTCAGCCGCTCGGGGACATTCGTTTGCAAAGTATGCATGCGTCCCTGTACAGAGGCAGCCGTATAACTTCACAGCTCGACTATCCATTGCTATAACAATTGCATCGAGTTTTTTCAAACCTTTGATTATTTTATTAATTTCCAGTTGTACGTAGGAAAAAAAAATAAAAGAGAAAATAATGGTAACAGAGAGTAAACCTACAGCGAATCTATTCCGTGCGTTCGCGTCCGAAAACTTGACGTATATAAATGCGTATGGAAACTTTAAAAATAAACTTTTGAGAGCGCGTCTTCCCCGGCCGTCTTTACCGCCCCAAGCAACTTGCTCGTTTACGACCTTACACAATATAATGCCAGTAACTTCGAAGTTTATCAGACATGCCGATAACAAGGCTAATTACGTCATTATGTCGCGTTAATTTTGTAAACTCTGTGTATTATCGTAGCAAGAGGAAAATATCTCGCCGTGGAAATTTCGATCTGCTTTTACATTCCCGGCCAGCCAACCAATCAACCAACCAACCAACCAACGGTGAAACAAGTCAAAGTTATTTTATCCATCCCTGAACGCCGCGTCTCCGCTGATCCTCCAGCGCGGCGCCGTAGAGGGGGACGCAATGCGCAGCTGACGGTGGATGCGGTGTCCGGACGCACGAACGCGGCGAGGGGAAGAGCGTTCGTTCGTTCGTTCGCTCGCTCTCTCGCTCGCTCGGCTTGTCAGGAGCGGTCATCAGGGACGAGAGAGGGTCTGGCGGGGTGCCAATCGCGACGGCGGCAGCGGTAGCGGGCAGCGGCGACGGCGGCGGTGAACGAAGGCGCTGCCCTCAGTCGGCCGGTCGACGTACTACAGTTCACACACACCCGCGCGCGCGACGGAGCGAACGATTGGCTGGCCGGCTGTGGCTGGCTATGTGCGTTTCCTCCGCGCGTTCCCGTTTCCCGAGATACTTGGAGCAGGGGCGCGTACTCGCTTGCTCGCTCGCTCGTTCTGCTGACGTGCGCGCGCTCGCGTGCACAAACGGAGCGCACGCACACACTCGCATGCATGCACCGTACGCACACGCATCTATTTTGCGTGTAGCGCGCGGCCGAGAGACTTTTCCTAGACCGTCAAACGCGGCTCGATGTAATCGGCGTGTATTCGCGAATGCATCGGTGATTGTCAACCTCGTCGCGGATCCCGCGTCGCGATATTCCCGCGAAGAAAAAGGGATATCGAACGTCGAGAGCGGTGGACGGGATACGAGGGAGCGAGACAACAGGAGTGGTGGGGTAGGAGAGAGAGAGAGAGAGAAAGAGAGGATAGTCTGAGAAAGAGAGACCGCGCTCGACCAATCGCCGCTTTCCGTGGCTCCGTCGTCGATGAGGCGGTCATCGCGCAACGTAACCTCAGTCGCTTACGTGGAAACACGCCTGTCGGGCGACGTTGATACGGGAATCGCGAGCGAGTCGTGGCTTATAATATACGGGAACGAACGCGGATATTATTATATGTACGACGCTGCGCGGAGAAACGCGTGATTCAACATCGCTGCTCTCTCTTTCTTTCTCTCTCTCTCTGCGTACGTGCGTGCGTGACGTGCGTATGTGTGCGTGCGTAACACGTCGCGGGTGCCTTTGTACAGCACGAATAGCCAGTGAGCACCGGGGAAATCACGTCTTTTTTTTTTAAATCCGCGAGACACACGCACGCGAGGAAAACGACGGGAGAGTCACGTTGATACGCTTATTGTCAAGCGGGACAGGGAGCGGAGTGCGTTTCCTGCGTGCGAGAGGGAGAAAGAGAGGAGAGGCGCGCCGCCGTCTTCAGTGGAGAAAGGAGCCACTCCGTGGAATCTCCTCGCGCTCCCCTCCGACACACTGCACAAGGTGTCGAAGGCACGTCGCCGCGTGTGTTCGACCGAATTTCGCGGCCCCGTAAGCGCGAGCGAGACGGACGCGGCGCGAGAGAGAGCGAGAGAGAGAAGAAAAAAAGAGAGGCAGACGCGTGAGATATATAGGCGCAATCAAAGGCGGATAGACAAGGATATCGGCGGTAGCGAGGAAGAGGGACACGTAGAGGCGGCGGAAGGGAGAGACCGAAGAAGCGGCGATCGAGTGGGAGAGATAGGGACTCCGGAGTGGGAGCGAGACAGCGCGAGAGGTTGACGGGAGACTGTCGGGCGGGAGAGCGAGAGGCACACGGATAGGCGACTCGGCGGAGGAAGCGTGACAGACGTATTCCCGTGGTTGAGACTGGTGAGTGCAGAGTGCGAAGGGGGGACGCACGGGGTTTCACGTTCGCGCGCGAGAGAGACGGCGACAACTGTCGGGCGCTCTGGTGGGAGCGAGGCGCAGTCGGGGACCGGAGGAGGGATAGAAGGCGCAACCCGAGCGGTGCTGCCGCCTATTGGCAACGTCGCGTCGGCTCCCCACCCGGGCCAGTGTCGAGCGAGGTCCGACGGAGAGTTCTTACGGCAGTGTGATTTTCTCTCGAGAAGTCGTGCGGTGCTCCGGGACGATAGTTCGGTTCTGTTAACGTTCGGGAACGTTTTGTCGGTACTCTCTCTCCGAGCGCGCGCGGGACGGACAGAGACAGAAAGAGAGAGAGATACAGAGGGAAAGAGAAGGAAAAAGGAAGAGAGCCGGAGCAGTCCGTGGAAAGAAAAAAAGAAAAACGTTACAGTGTCAGTTTTCCTCGTATTCTCCCCATTTCGTTAAAATTCCACGCGCGCATACGTCCACACGGATCTTTCCGTTTGCAAGAGGAGTTCGTAACGTCTCGCTCTCGGTACGCGCTCTCCCACCACCGTCATCGATTTCCCACGCGACGCGCTTACTCGCGCCGCACTGGTGAGGGAATTCGCGAGGGTGAAGTAGGATTCCTCGGCAAAGAGCGGACGAGACACGGCAACGCCGCCCGTGGCAGCGGCGGCGGCGGCGGTGGGTAACCAGCCAGCAGCGGCGGCAGCAGCAGCAGCAGCGACGGCAGCAACAGCAACGACGGACGCGCTTGTCGGAACAGCGGCAGTAGGCGGCGCTGGTGCTGCGCCCCGACGGCCGTCGATCGAAGCCCGCCGCGTTATCGCAATGGCTTCCGTGAAAGACACAGCGACTTTCTTCGCGGAGGGCACCGCGACGCAATTCGAACACGTTCTCAAACTTTATCCGCAGGCGTTGCGCCTCAAGGCCGATCGCAAGTTGAAAAAGCCCGAGGAGCTGATCAAGCTAGACAACTGGTAAGTACGGCTAAATGTACTCTGGCGCGCGACGGCGACGCACAACGACGCTGTCACATCTCCCCGAATGTGTATGTTTGTGGTCCCCTTCCCTTCCCCTCCGCCGAATGTGTGCGTGTGCGCGAGAAAGAAAAGGGAGCGAGCAGGCGATGCGAGCGAGCGAGAGATAGGAGCGGAGCAGATAGCGCGGTAGAAGGAGAGAGAAAAGCGCGCTGCCGCCGCCGCCGCCGCCGCCGCCGCTGATGGGGCCGACATTACGGCGGCCCGAGGGAGGAAACGGCGCTCTACCACGGGGCGCACGCGGGACAATGAACCCGCTTCGCGCTGTGCTGTTCTCCGCGAGCGAGCGAGCGAGCGAAGCGAGAGAGCGGCAACGCCGCGTGTGCGCGCCCGTATGTCACCCTCTCGTCGCACACTGTCCTACGGGGGATTTACCCCGCGGACTTCTCGTGGGCAGCCCTCTCTCGTCACGTGGTCAACCGTCCCGCGATTAGAATGACACTCCGAACGAGCGGATGCGGAAAGAAAAAAAAAAATGATTGCCAATAGTAAGATTTTTCCTTTTCAGCTTCGCGATACCGCGCGGATCGTTACGTGCAAATTGAATTAGGTCGACGCGGAATGCGATTGATTGTCGAATAATATCCCTTTTATCCCCCTTTTTTTTATCTCTTGATCCGATTGACTGAAGATTTTTTTGAAAAGAGACAAAAGAGGGAGGAAATAAATCTCGCGCGCGTGCGCGCATATATATGCCTATAGAAGTATATGATACTTGTACATAACATTTATGTATCTGTTTTGTGTATATCGATTAAAGAAACATTTTGTACATCTGCAATTGTTATTTATGTGAATCACAAGCTGCATCGTTAATTATTTGGGTAAACGTCATGTAAAATCGTAATCGGAACTGAAATGTAGATAATTCCTTCTTTCGTTGCCAATATGATTATCGATTTTGACGAAATGGTTAATCTACACAGTAATTGCATTGGTGAAAATTACAGAAAATTTAAAAGGATGGATTAATCGGGAGGATTATATAATTTGTGACATTGCGCGAAAAATGTCAATTTATATAATGACTTATTATTTATTAATCTGCTTTTAAAGAAGTCTATTTTCGAATAGAATTTAAACAATTTCAAATCACTGAAAATATTTAATTAAAATTAAAATTAATTATGTGTAATAATAGATCCTATTATGCTTGTTAATTTATCGTAAGATAATATTAACTTATATTAAAGATAGAACTCTCTAAAATTTGCAAATTTCCAAATTTTACGTCTATAAATTTTATAAAACTAATTAAATTTATAAATTTATTAATTTATAATTTATAAAAACAATTATATATATATAAATTTTTATTTTTACTTTTGGAAATTATTTTTAGATCCACAGGACATTTGAGATTGTGGACCTCTGGATCTAAGAATTCAAAATTTGCCAAAAAGATAAAGAGATTCGAGGCTTGAAAATAAAGATACTCGAACAATTCGATATGTATTTGGAAAAAATAGAAATTACGTTAATCGAACTTTAAACATTAAAATTAATATTTAAGGATTATAAAAAATGGGAATGCCTTCAAAATACTGAATTCCCGATATGCTTTAATAATTTCTCGTGATTCCTCTTAATTAAAATAATTTATTTAAAAAGACTAATAGTTTTACTCATTAAATGTTATTTCCACTAATATGAGACGAAGAATATTATTTCATTATTATAAATAATGAATAAATTATCTGTGCGCCAAATAAATAATATTTCTATGAAATCCAAAATTTTATCATGATTAAGACAGGCTCTTTTAAAAGTAACGAAAATAAATATTGTAGATAAAAATTAATAATTATCTTAAAAGAACTTCTTTATGAAAATTCTAAACAAATTTTGCTGAAAATAATGAATGGATATACACGTAAGATGTGCGTAAGAAACAAAGTTGCCTGAAAGAAAGCGAGATATACGTCAATTTTTTCATTAATCTCGTGCGATAAGCTCATATTGTTTATTTTCGCAGGCGCGATAGGATCGGACGAGATCGTTTTATCGATCGTGACATATTACGATGAGACTAAGAAAAAGAGGTACACACGGGGACAGTGACAGAACGAACGAGTAAGAGGATGACGTGGTTAGGGGGAAAGGGAGGACAGACTTTACGCGCCAGTTTCTTCCGTGTTGCAGAAGCGATGGCGAGGGCGACGGTGGGGTGAGGAGAAGTGGAGTACCGTTGTTTTCATTCCCATTGAGGCCAGTTTGTGTCAAGGCTGCTTTTCCACGGTGCCAAGCCGTGTGCGGATATGCGGCATTACGAGGTGCAGCGCGCGTTTCAACTTTGTTTGAAACGTTGCTGTTCGGCTCGGAAAATATTGAAAATATCTCTTTTTAAAGGGCAAACGCGGACGTGGAAATTTATCTGAAAAAAAAAACGAAGGGCCGCGAGACGCGTGGAAAAAAATTGCGGCCAGCGTTTTGACGATGCGCGTCAAAAACGCGGCGCGTGGAGCAATTATCGCCTTTGAAAATTGGATTCGTCGCTTCGAAAGGAATAAATTTCTAAATTTCGGGAATACAGATTTAACTTTGAGTTTTCTATTCGTTTAATGTGATTAAGCATTTAATGTATTTCATACAATATGAAATGATTTATTAATAATGCTATAGCTTGTCAGAGACAGTCATTGCGCTGTGTAATCATTATTTAATTATTTAGTATGTATTTGTATAATAAAAATGAAAATCCTAATTAACGATTTATAAATTATAATTGACTCCAAACGCGATTTCGCGAGATAAAACAATCCAAAATACAGATTTAATAATTTTCCCGACAAATTCGAGATTCCCTGTAATAAGTGCATTTAATTTATAAATTCATTATATGCAATAATATTGAAGATTTATTATTTTGTGAACTTTACTGTAAAATGGATCGGATTATTCTAATCATTTGTCAGCCCGACAGGAGAAAATTCAGAAAGACGAGCGTCATCGCGATTTATCGATCTTCGTACTATTGTTCTTTCGAAATTTATTATCGAAGCTCCCTATTTTAACTTTTCGATTTTATAATTACAATTTTAGCAGCGCTTAGGCCTTCAATTTCTTTAATCTTAAAACATGGTCTTTAATTTTATAGCTTCCCATTGTTTCTTTAATAGTTCCGAGCGTTTGCATTCTGGGGGTGCAATGGGTATCGAGGAAGACGTAACGTCACGGCGCGTATCCACGTGTGATCCACGTGCGCGATAAAGATGGGTATCCTCCAATCGTCGACGAGGGGCGTGTCGAGTTTCTTGCGGCAGCGTTTGTATTTTTAATCGAGCCTTTAACGAATTCCTGTATTCCGCAGCGACGACGGCGGCGGCGGCGCGATTACGTCACGCTTATTCGTTCGCTCATGCGTACGCACGTATAGGTGTGTGAGTGTATGTGTGTGTATGTATATGTGTGCTCCCGCGCGCGCTTCTCCTCTTGTCTTGAACGATGGATCAATCTTGATCGCACGTATCTTGTTGCTTGTATCGGCAGGTATCAGAATGAGCTTCCGAAGATGATCAAATCACGCGGCAAGGACGCGCATCTCAATCACGCGGAGCTGGTGCAGACGATGAAATGGAAGCAAATAGTAAGCCGCTTTTTTTCCGCTTGTTTGGACACCCGCGCCAAGGATCCGGATCCCGCCAAGATCCGAACGCACGGACTTTTATATCTCGAGCATTAAATTGAACGAATTTTTATGAACTGCTTTCCATGATGTTCAAGAAGCTTTAACAATGATGTGAAGTGCGATTGTTATCTCTTTCGGCACCATGATGCGATTAGGAAGAAAAGGATACTGTAATTTGTAATTTATGAACTACGCGAAACTAGTTTTCACTTCACAGATAAAATATCGCGCCGGCCGAGAGCGTAAAGAAAATAAATATGTTATTCTCGTGGAAATAACTCTCGAGAAGATTTATATTTGCATGTAATTTACATCTTTACATCTCGAGTGATTAAGTAAGTTGTTCGAATGTAAGATATATAGATTTTGGATTTGGCGGAGCCCGAACCTATAGCTGTGTGGCAAACTTGCGCCTCCGCGCGAGTCGATGTGAGGTGCAAGTAGAAAGATTTCCGTGAAAACCTGGATCCCGGGAACCGAGGTGCTCCACCGGGTGCTTGACCGCCATTTTGTTTTCAGCGCGGCAAGTTCTATCCACAGCTGTCCTACCTGGTGAAGGTGAACACACCGCGCGCCGTGATGGCAGAAACGAAGAAGGCGTTCAAGAAGCTCCCGAATCTCGAGCAGGCGATCACGGCGCTGTCGAATCTGAAGGGCGTCGGTACCACGATGGCGTCGGCCGTGCTCGCCGCGGCGTCGCCGGAAAACGCGCCCTTCATGGCGGACGAGTGCCTGATGGCGATACCGGAGATCGAGGGTATCGATTACACCACTAAGGAATACTTAAACTTCGTCCAGCACATTCAGAACACCGTCGAGAGGCTGAACAAACAGAGTAAGCGATTATGAGTCATTACCGGCCGCCGCGCGCGTGCAATCCCCGAGTCCCGCGCGTTTACCGTATCGAGTCCTTGGAAATGAGATTCCTCATTATTATTTCTCCGTACCCGAGGTTTTCCTTCGTCGGATCCTCGTGGAGGGGAGGGTCTCTATAGCATCTCTCTCCCTAATTTCTATATTTCCGCACTTTCAAGTCAAATATTATACATAATTATCGTATCTCTTTTTTGAATTTAATGACACCCTCGTATCGCTGAATTTTTACTGCCAAATCCTTGGATTTTTATGATTCGAATTTTATATTTTCGCCTCTTCGGAATTCCTTACGAGAAAAGGAATTTAGGAAATCGTGAAGTAACGCGAAAAATCTTTTCTTTGTTCCAGCGTCAAATGGCAAGACATGGAGCCCACATAGAGTCGAACTGGCGCTGTGGACGCACTATGTGGCGTCCGAGCTGAAGCCGGAGCTGCTCGACGGCATTCCGGGCTCGACGGAGAACGGCAACTCGCACGGCGCCAGCAACGGCGAGGCGACAGAGCCGTCGGATGATAGCAATCAAGAGACGACAGTGGCGAACGGCAAAGACACGCCGGCGGCGCTCGATCCGGCGGCGATCGACGAGAACAGCACGACGACGTCCTTCACCGAGGACTCGCTGGACAAGCCGGCGACGCCAATCACCGCCGGCGATCATCCCGTCGTGGGCGCCAGCGAGGACACAAATGATTCCCTCATTACCAACGACAGCAGCAACAACGCGACGCCACGACCTACCGATAGCGAGGACACCGAGGAGGACTCGCAGGACGCGCAGGACGCGCAGGAGCCGCCCACCAAGAAGAGCAAGAAGTGACCCGATCGGCTCGGTGACGCGACGAGCAACAACGTCAGCACTTTCGTGCCCGCCAGAAGTCTGTCGATCATCGCGGCACCGCGTCGTCGATTCTGAATCATCGAACGGATGATGGACCGACGGACGTACGGACGACGGACGGACGGATAGGTAGTATAGAGATGGATGCACGGACGGACGGACGGACGCGGATGGATGGATGAAATTACTCTATTGCGCGATTGCTTGCGACGGAGCACAGCCGCTCACTTCATCCTCGACTCTTGCGGCAGGGGAGAGGAGAGGAGCGAGGAAAGAAGAGGCGGATCCGCGGGATCCCGGAGATTCGGATGGATTCTGGGATCCTCGAATCCTCGAGTCCTCTCACTCCGTTTCTCTCCCCTTTCGAAATCCTTCCCCACATCTCACCCACGGTCTCGTTATATCTCATTTCTTTACGCTCCTTCCTTCGGTTCTGGTATCGATTTTTACTGAGTGACCGACGAGCTCGTATCCTCGTCGACGTCAAGCGTCAGATGGTACAGCTGGATCCTCGCCGTTGTTGTTCGGACAATCTCGCGCGTTCACGCAATGTCAACAAGAGTTTTGCACCACCTTTTGATTATGGATCTCCTGTATAAAGTATGTTGAAGCGGACGAGGAAACGTGAAAGTATATACTCAATGTTGTTAGAAATAAAGGACCTTTCACGCATCTAGTAATAAGCCTTTGTATCCCACTCTTGACGGATTTCTAGTTGCCTTTTTCTTTTTTCATTTCTTCGATCGGTATACCCTGTCTCTCCGAGACATTGTATATTTATTTAAAATTTTGGTTTCTTTGAATTACATTAAGAACTTAGAATTTTTAGAATATGAGAAGATTATTAGAGGCTTGAGGAGGCTTTCGGGGAATTTTGAAGTCTTACATTAAAAAATTGGCAATTTACATGGGATTATGCGTTCATAGAATCTCGAAGCGATTATGCGGGTAATTTTTTTTTTATTTTGTTGAATTTACATTTGGATCCTCGAATTCTCGAGGATCTTCGAATACTCGAACGTCCCTTCTTCCACGACTCCTCGATCGCCGCTCTTCAACGCAAACACAACTGAAACTGCCGTTCTACAAACAAGAAGATGATGCAAAACTTTCTTGATACACATCTCTCGTCCACTTTCTAATCTACCCTTCGCGACGTCACGTGTCGTAAATAATTAACGAGACTCCCTCATGTTCGTTCTATTTGTCATCGATCGCCGCTACACTTTTCGTTGAAGTCTCTCCACGATCGTATTCACATAGCATTCGACGCACGTATTTTATTCTATTTTTTTATCTCCTACCCCCGAGGGTCAATAATCCGATGGATCAGCTTCGAAGAATGATCCCGTAAAGCGATGTTGCGTGTTTACGCGTAAACGGCCGTGAACTCTTACGGGTGATAGAAACCATGATTTCATACGCGATGTTTATAACGCGAATGCATATGCAACAAGAGGCAGAGGTACCTTTTTTATTTTCCGTCTATACTGCGTGACTACATACAAACAATGCGATACAGGCAGATTTTACGCGTAAATATTCACCATCGGCACGAGGCTTCGTCCCTTCGAAGATTTCAATTCCCCGTATCCTAGACGCTTAGGTGAAGGCAACTTTCAGTTTTTCCCGAATGCGCCAATTAAATTTTCGTATCCTCGAATTCTTCGACTCCTCGAGAGGGGTCTGGGAATTACAGGACGTGTGGATTAATTTCAGGACGCGTGCGTCACTTTCGGTTAGAGCTGATAATCGATCATGCCTTATCAGTTTCGCGCGACGTGAGTCAATATACGGCGGAGTTCTCGAATCATTCCTTCGGAAGCGACGATCACTGTTGAAAGGAGAAAGAAAGGGGGAGAGAGATTGGGTGAAATGTATGTGAATGAGGGCAGGAGGAGGAAGAGAGCAAAGCACTCCGTGAGTAGCAGAGAGAAAAAAAGGCAGAGGAAATACTGGACACAATGATAATATTAATATTAATAATAATGATAAATAATTATTATAATTATAATTATTATATAATACCGAATCATTACCATAATTTATATACCTAATGAGAAAACTGCATGTCAGAGATGATGCATGGAGCAAACCAAATACCTTGTAAGTAAAAAAAAAACTTTAGAAAGAAATAAAAGTAATGCTTTCAGTCCATCAAGCTCAGTAAAATAGCGTCCGGCCTGCGACAAAACACACATATATATACACACATAAACACACATCTACGCACGCACATAGTTTTAAGATTTAAATATTTAAGTACTTAGTACGTATCTACTCAAGAGTTCATTTGAAGAACATTGATTACTATTACCGAAACCTTCTCTGATCTTAGAACTCTAAATTTTGTTGTTATAAATAGTTTAATGAACGTTTGAAGCCCCTAAATTTTTAGCTTTTTAATTCTCGAAATCTTTAACTTTTACGTCAATCAACATCCTTCACACCTCTCCCACGTTTCACTTTTTGAATCATTTATTTTGCAAATTCCCGTTTCCTCTTATGGAAATTAATTCTTCGAAGAAAGCGAGCTTAACAAGGCTAAGCTTACGCTAGGGAAAGTGAAATTGGAATTATACCATTCACTTCTGAACACAAACAGTTGATTTTAGAACGTTATCGGGATTCTGGAGATTCTATTAACTTCGATTTATCTTCAATTTGTAGTCATTTACTTTATGTCAATTGCATTCTTTTATAACTTAAAATTTATTTTAGAATTTACTTAATGCGCGTGACTCTTATCGCGTTTTAACGGGATAAAATATTGCCTCTCGAGTGTTTTTTTTTTTTTAAGATTGGAAAATAAGGGTCGAGCGAAAAGTGGAGAACGCGCGTGAGTAAATACAGGGCGAGAAATTCGCGATTATTGCGAATTTCCAAAACGATGATTCGTCATCGTTCTACAGCTTTGAGCGAGCGTGACACGGCGGCATTGCGGATACGTGAGAGAGGTGAAAGTAAAACACGTCTCGCCACTCGCATCTTCCCGACTTTCTCTCGACGTCGCGTCGCTTTGACTTCTCGTCGTTGACGTTGCCGTTCATCCTGCTGGGAGCGAAGTGAAACCGCAGCTGCGACGACCGCAAAACCACGTCCGTTTTCAGCCGCCAGAAGAATACGCCTTTGCTTACCGTCCTATTCCCTATATTTGCCTTAGATCTTTAATATATTTTTTTTTAATAAAAGAACATCGAGCATTAATAAATATTCGCGACTGCGCGCACGAGAAACATTATCTCGTAGAAAAAACACATTTTCATTTTCACGTGCTGCAAAAGTTAATGAAAACGTATATTTCATATAAAAAATAAGGTAGGAAAGATACGTGAAGAGATACTGAAATTTACAAAACAAAACTCGATATACGCTTTCTAGAATTAAACTATTATTCTGCAGCCTTGGAGAAATGGAATTTACGTGATAATAATTAATTGGCAACATTCTCAACAACGGCAAATCTTTTGTCTGTATTTTTTTTCAAACAGCAAATTCTTAAGGAACAAGTTCGTAAAGGAAAACTGCAAACAATATTTGATGTTGTATAGAAATAGTACCTAAAAAATTCAAAGTTTCTCGTAATCCTGGTCTCTCTTTAAAGGAACTTAAATCTTTCGAATACAATTTTAAGCGTGTTTCCTGACTCTCTTCAACTGTTATTTCTATAGAAATCTGAGCCTTTCGGACATTCTTTTAAATTTATTTTGCTTTCCGTAAAGGTATACCTGAAGAAGAGAGCCTGAGAAGAAACGTGGTATATAATACGAAAATGTTACAAGGCCAACAATAGGACACAATAGGAATACGTCAAGGTTAATGACACACATCCGGATGGAACAGGCCGAAGTATTGTAAAGCTGTGTTGTTGACCCTCGTAAAATAGAATGCAGAAGGGAGGATTGGTGACACCTTGCAGTTTGCCGATTTATACTGATGTGATAATTTGGCTCGATTACTTTGTATTCACGTATGTATATATATATATATATATATATATATACATATATATATATCTTACTTTTATGCGTCCACAAGTGTTTCTTCGTGAATGATCTCTTTTTTTGGGATGATTATATTGCTTGTCCACACAATGGATTCTGTTCATCAGTGGTACTAGCCGACAATCATGAGTAGATCTTCAATCTACTCATGATTAGTAGAATTTTCGTCAGTTTCGCAAAGGAGAGGGATGTTAAACTTATAGCACATTTCTTATATTAATCTTGTATTAGATATCTGTCCACCGAATTTAGAATTTTATAGAAGCAGAAATTTATTTCTCTATAAATCCTGTATATCTTTGTATCAAGAATGATTTAAATAATTTTTGTGAGAGATTTGATCCTTCACACACACTTTGATCCTTCATTCGTAAAGTTGATTTTATCTCTTTACAAAATAATTTAATTTCAGTGGAAAAGACGTATTATCTCATCCGTAAAATTCAATTTGCGAATTTAAAAGAAATATTAATTTTTAATCAATACATGCACATATTTATAGATTGTCTAACAGTTTTATATTTTACGCGTTTGCTTCTTCGATTGTCTATCGCCTATTTTGATTGTGCTTTGAAGCTATGCGATTTACATGCGCGTGCTCCACCGTGAGTCCGGTTTTTCGGTCGGTGTGCCGAAATCGTCGAAACCGGTTTGCCGAAGCGTGAACCAGCGAAGCTCGGAACTCGAACTTGGGTTTCAGCGCGCCGGGTGGCTACGGTACTCCCGGTCGACGGAGGAAAAAACTCGCTCCGATTTCGCAGTATCGTTCAGATTTCTAATAATTTGCAGAATTTCTGTAATGCGACGATTAGAAATTTCAAGCTGCAGCGAAGAAATTCGCGAATACGAGCAGTCGGAGGAATTTTTTAAACACGAAAAGATGTGAAAAACAGTGGAATTCGAGAATAGCGAGCGAAATACAAATATCTCACATAATTCGCGAGTTTAATTTGACAATGAGTTTTAAATAGGTATATGTATATATCTGACTCCACGCGCGAATTACGTCCAGTTCAGTTAATGTGTAGATTAATCTTAATTTAATTTACTTTTTATCTTTTTTTAGTTTCAAGAAAAAGTAATTAAAATAATTAAAGTAATTAAATCAAGATTAAAATTAATCTACACACACACACACACACACACACACACGCATACAAAAATGGACATTATCGAGCAATCAATCGTTTGAGAGAATAACGTGGCAGAAATAATACTTTTGGTGCTGGACATCGATGTAACTTTTTTTCATTAGGGCGGAAATATGAAAAGTGAAAACACAGACGCGACACGCTATTAAAGATATCTTTAATAATATCCCGTCGGTGTTTTCACTTTTCACGTTTCTGATCTAGAGAGAAAAAAGTCTTACATGATCGATTACTCTGAATGAGAGTTCACCAAATCTCTCGGCGGCGATACATCCGTAGATACAATGTCAAAGAACCGCGAGAGGACTTTCGACTAAATCACCGCGATTGTAATGCATATACATCTCGCGCTATTATGCGCGAAGAATAGGCGAGAGAGGAAGCGGAGAATTCGCCTCTTCTTATCCGTTTACCTCTGCCCTCGCGGATTCCAAAGGAAGAGGCAGAGGCATCGGGGAAAGGGCACCGGGAGAATCAGGGCAGGAGGAAGATAGGGGGACGGCGCGAAAGGGGGGTTGGGGGGGGAGGGGCGGGAAGCGGGTGCAATGCA